TCAAAATATGGGTGATTTTGCAAAATTTTTACAAGAATGTGGAATAGTGCTCCAATACACCATGCCAGGAACACCTGAGCAGAATGGTGTTTCTGAAAGACGTAATCGAACTTTAAAAGATATGGTTAGAAGTATGATGAGTAAAAGAAATTTGCCTGAATATTTGTGGGGCGAAGCCTTGAAAACAGCTATATATATTTTGAACAGAGTTTCAAGTAAAGTTGTTGCAAAGACACCTTTTGAATTATGGACATGTCGTAAGCCGAGTATGGCTCACTTTAAAGTTTGGGGATGTCCAGCTGAGGTTAGGATTTATAATCCATTTGAAAAGAAATTAGACCCTAAATCAACTACTGGCTACTTTATTGGGTATCCGAATAGATCAAAGGGATATAAGTTTTACTGTCCAAATCGCGGCACTAGAATTGTGGAGTCCATTACTGCTAAGTTTCTGGAGAACGATTTTGGAGATAGTGGGAGTTCCACGTTGAGAGAAATTCTTGTTGAACCTAATCAAGTTGTAGTTCCAGTTCCTGTTATACAGGAAAGAGTTGGTTCTCAACCAATTGAAGTTGTTAATGAAGAATAGAGGAACCAGGAGGAATCTCCAATTCCTCAAACAACGATTGAATCGGTTCCTGAGCCACAATTTAGGAGATCACAAAGGGAAAGAAAATCTGCATTGTCCAGTGATTATGTTACATATTTATTGGAGAGCGATTTTAATATTGGGCATATTGTTGATCCTGTAACTTATAATCAAGTATTGACAAGTCCTGAGGCAAATAAATGGATAGCTGCCATGGAAGCTGAAATGAATTCCATGGAAAGGAATAAAGTTTGGGATCTTGTTGAACTTCCTCCAGATGCTAAAGTTATAGATAACAAGTGAATTTTCTAAAGTAAATTAGATTCAAAATGAAATGTTGAATGAAAGAAAGCAATATTAATTGCAAAAGGTTTCACTCAACGAGAGTATATTGATTATGTTGAAACCTTCTCCCCTATTTTCGTCGAAAGATTCTTTTCGAATTATTATGGCACACTATGATTTGGAGTTTCATCAAATGGATGTTAAGACATCATTTTTGAATGAAGATCTTTCTAAAATGGTATACACAAAACAACTTGAAGGCTTTGTTGTGAAAGAAAAATAAAACTTGGTATATAAGTTAAACAAATCCTTATATGGCCTCAAGCAACATCTCGACAGGGGTATTTAAAATTTGACAAGTTTATGACATCTCTTGGTTTTGTCGAAAATACAGTTGATCAATGCATTTATCTCAAAATCAGTGGGAGAAATTTTATTTTTCTTGCCCTGTATGTTGATGATATTTTGCTTGCTAGCAGCAACTTAAGATTGCTTCATGAGATAAAGAAAGTGTTGTCTATTAATTTTGAGATGAAAGATATTGGAGAAGCTTCCTGTGTACTTGGCATTGAAATACATCATGATAGGAATCGTGGCTTACTGGGATTTTCTCAGAAAGCTTACATACGACACGCTCTAAAATGTTTAATATGCAGAACTGTGCCGCTAGTGAAATACCTATCATAAAATGAGATAAATTTAACAAAGCTCAATGTCTAAGAAATGAGCTAGAAAGAGAATCTATGAAGACGATGTCGTATGCTAGTGCTATGGGGAGCTTGATATATGCTCAAGTTTGCACTAGACCATGTATAGCCTACGCAGTCAGTGTCATTAGTAGGTTTCAGTCAAATTCAGGACAAGTGCATTAGAAAGTAGTTAAGAAAGTTATGAGATATTTGAAGAAAACTGAAAGTTATATGCTTACATTTCAGCGTACAAATCATCTTGAGGTGGTAGAATATTCAGATTCTAATTTTGCTGGATGTCAAGATGATTTGAAATGAACCTCAGGTTATACTTTTACATTAGTTAGTGGTGTCATTTCTTGGAAAAGTGCTAAACAGACTCTAGTGACATTTTCTACTATGCAAACTGAATTTGTGGTGTGTTATGGCGCCACAGTCCAAACCGTTTGGTTAAGAAATTTCATCTCTAGGTTGAAAGTTGTTGATTCCTTCTCAAGACCGATCATCATCTACTGTGATAACAGTACAGCAGTATTCTTTTCAAAAAATAATAAAAGTTCTGGTCTGTCAAAGCATATTAGCATCAAATATTTGGTGGTTAGAGACAAAGTCAGGGAAGGACAGATGAAAATAGAGCATATCAATATTGAGACAATGATTGCATATCCTTTGACTAAGGGACTCGCTCCAAAATCCTTAAGACATATATTGTTAATATGGGCATTGTGGAAATATTTGATATTTTTGAATAGTGGGAGTTATTTATGAACTATGTTTTGGGCTTGATCCTTTTGCGGGGTACATAGGCAACCCATATGTTTTCGGGTACAGCCCCTTCTGATAATAAAATAATTTTTACCCTATTCATGAACTATTTTAAGCATGCATTTGACTTATGTCTTTTTATATTATTGATATCTTGAAATATGACGTATAAAGACATAAGATGAGTCTCTTTTAGAGATATGTGGCTTCATTTTGATTTGAAGCATTATGAGGACCGATATGAGCACAATTTTTGATCACATTTGGTGCTAAGTTCATACCACATACTACCACATTGGTTGGAGGATGGGGATCCATGTCGATAAGGATGTTGACATTTGTAGTTGTGGAATGGTCTTACATCTCTTAAATTGGTGTAATGACTTCCATGTTCGGTGTTAATAATCTTGTTGGACCGGATCATGTTACGTAAGGTGTCATCATTGGAGCTATACTTTTGTGGCCATCTATGTAGTCTAACCCGAGTGTTAAAACTTTGTTATGGCAATCAAATGTTTGCCCAAGTGGGAGAATGTTGGAATAATTAATTATTTCATATATGGGCTTCACATTGGATTGCAAATTTTACGGATTAGATGTATGGCTTATAATGATATTTGTATTTGGACCAAATTTATTATAGTCGTAATGGGACGGCTCAAATTATTTCCTATATATAAAAGCTAGGTCCCCTCTCCTATCCATATGTTTTTCATTAGCTTGCCCCATTGATAGCTAATACTTTTGTGAGGAGCAAGGAGGGGAAGATCTTGACCGTTATTACAACTACTATTCATATCAATAATGGCTTCTGCAGGTATAAATTCATTTTATTAATTTATTAGATTGTGATTATCGATTCTTAACATGATTAAAACTAAATATCAACATCATAGCCTTCAAATCTTGATACGAACATACCTAAAATTTCTTTTAATGCACGAAATTGATCCTTTTTTTTTTTTTTTTTTTTTATGGTTTCCCATCCGGTTGTTAGTTGAAGGATAATGCCCTTACTTAAATAAAATACATATATAAGACAAAAAGTAAAAAAAGACAGTTCATCCTAACAACCAACTCACCATGAGACCATTTCCAATGAAAATGTGGATTGCTTAAATTTTGTATTATATAAGAAAATTAAAATATCTTTAAAAATTTTATTCAATGCAATTTAAAAGGGACTCCATCAAAATGATGTGATCGAGAAAAATAAATATTTTTTTAAAGCTCTATCAAGATTAAGAAGTTGTGTTAAATATGTTGACTTGGTAAAATTTGGGTTGGACTTCTTAGAGTAGAAAACCATCCATCGAGTCAAGTAATTCGCTATCGAAAATTTTTCTATCACCTATCTCATGACATACTTCTTCTTTCTTTGAATTGGTTCCTGACGTCGATCAATCAAAATTCACCATCAAGAGAAAATGCTAAAAAGTCAAATACTTGACTGTACCCACTACAAGGGTTATTTCATTTCTAAATTCAGACTTGGTTTGCCCAAGAATAAGTTGGGAGTTGAAAGCAAGTGGATAGATAGGTTGTTTTCGATGAATCCCCTATTTAAGAATCAGCTGTTCACGTTGCTTTTGCCATGACACTTCATACAATGCATTGTAAACATAATTTGTACTCAAGTGTTTGCTTATTAGACATAAATGTCATGTAAATTAAAAATCGTTCGATATCTATCTTTTTCTCTGCAACATTATCTTAAAGAAGCCCCTATCAACTTCAATCAAATAAATATTCTATTTAAATACCTTTCAGTTTGCTTATATGACACAACTTTAAAAATAATATGCATTGGAGGTGCTCACACCAAAGATTAATTGGTGTAATGAGTTGTCTTTTTTTAGTCATATTTTTAATTTTTTCCATTAATCTGATTTTAAGTTTACATTAATGATCAATTGGATTGAATAAATCCAAAATGATGTTTGCACAAAGATTTGAAGGTTAGGGGTCAATTGGACAGCAATCCAATAGCTTAGAGATCGTCTGTGTCATCTACATTTTCGCATCATAATTATCAACGCAATTTCGCTCTAAGTGAAGAAAATTTTTGATAGAATTCATACGGAAAGACACTTGGCAACTTTTTATTGATTTTTGATACAATAAACACAAAATATATACTATAGAGATGATGTCAACGCAACATCTATACCATTTCTATCAATAATTAGGTTCCATTTGGTATTCATTTTTGTAAGAATAAGAATGAAAACTACAATTGTTACAGAATTCACACAAGAGATAAAAAATAAAATATAATGACTTAATGTAATAAATAACAATCATATTTTTTTATTTTTGTGATCAAATAATAGAAGTCAAACAGGGACTATGGAATTATTCTTTTCAGTAAGTCCCAAGAATGATTTGAAATTTTTTTTGAATTCCCAATACCTCCGAAATTGACTCCCTCGGAAACCCAACCCGTCGAATTCCCCGCCACCATCTTCCGCCGTTAGAACCGATGGCCCTCTCCACCCCTCCACCGCCCCCTGGCCCTTCTTCCACCATCAGAACACGGCCACTCTACCCTGACCTCCGGCCCCCTAACTCTCAGCCCCTTCCCTTTATTCACCCCCGTCCAGACGCCCTTTCAATCCCAATCCCAATTATCCTCAATTAGCTCCCCTGCCACTCCACCCACAGGATCCTTCGCAGCTTCTCTACCCCGTTGTCAACTCCAGCCGCTGCTTCGTTCTGGTACCGGGACCTCCCTCGAGACCGCCGTTCGTGTTCCCCCACCCGGACCCAGTTCAGTTGCAGGAAAGGCCATGTTATTCCGGACCGATTCATTTGCTTGCATCCGGACGATGTTCTGCCGCTCATGTTGGTGGTGGATTCTTGCCTGGTGTGGTTAAAGGAATTCCTTTCTCATCTTTTCTCCGCCCAAAGGTTTTGTATTCTCTGCTTATATGCGTTCTTGAATTTTTATGGGAAGTTTCGTAGTCCTTGTTCAAGGCCAAAACTGGTGGAAATCAACTGCACCGTAACTGCACCATATATTTCATCACAGCATATCATTCTCGAATCAACATATTGCGACGTGGAATTATGGATTTTCTAGGTCCTGGAGACCATATGCACATGAATGATTCCGAATTTACATTGGGGTAGTTTAAAGGCTAGAGCATCACATAGCACATGAAATTAATACTTGAGAGATGACACATTGATCTTAATCATATGAAGTTCTTACACATTTCATCACTCTGAATTGAATCTTATTTTATTTAGTCTTGATACTAGAGAAAAGACATATTGTTCTTAATTATATGAAGTTCTTAAGTATATCATCAATCACTGCAGTTGATTATAATTTGAAATCTTATTTCATTTGTTTTTAAGAATCATATGATCATCCAAAGTAGATATTTGTATGGGCATCAATCATTCAAAAAAGCTAATTTCAGTTTTAAGATGCGATATTGCAATTACAATTCTTCCATCAATCTCGAGTGGTCATATGAAAAGTATCTTGAGTTGCGTAAGTATGATAGAAATTTGCTAGGAGTAGATGTTCGCATTAATGAGAACTCTTAAGGTCAACATAAACATACATATCATGTAAATGTCGAAATAATATATAAGAGATAAAAGTCATGAAAGAATAAGGCAAAGAAAACCCATATTTAAGTAAGCTTAAGGACCAATGTCAACTAGGGAGTAGGGACCATTATGAAGCGTACATGGAGGTGGATTTGGGCTCTGTTTCATGACGAGCAGGTGAGATAGTGTAGGCTCATAGTTTCTTTTCTCCTTCAAACTACTTTTGAGAATTGTGTTTTTTGTCTTATTCATTAAAATTTTCAATCAAATGAACTGATGACCCCATGATACATGTTTTGGAGAACAAGTCTTCTAGAAAAATTCAACCTTGATATTCAATTAAGGAAAGATTAGTTAGTAGCACTACATAGACACGTTTTTAGCATGGCAGAGCTTCCAAAATTGTTTTTCCCATTTAATTTTCTGTGGTGTTCCAGGTCAGTCCTTCAACTTCAATCTCTGATAGTAATGACCACAAAGACTTACGGTTCTGGAAGTCCTGTGAAGCCATCCAGAAATGCTCATGATTTCCTTTTGCTTTTCTTGCAGAGATAGAAGTAGGAATGATACTTTAGCAGTCACATAATGTCTCTTTGACTTCACAAGTTGATTTTTCTTCTCCAACCAAATGAACTGATGACCCCATGATGCATGTTTTGGAGAACAAGTCTTCTAGAAAAATTCAACCTTGATATTCAACTAAGGAAAGATTAGTTAGTAGCACTACATAGACATGTTTTTAGCATGGCAGAGGTTCCAAAATTGTTTTTCCCATTTAATTTTCTGTGGTGTTCCAGGTCAGTCCTTCAACTTCAATCTCTGATAGTAATGACCACAAAGACTTACGGTTCTGGAAGTCCTGTGAAGCCATCCAGAAATGCTCATGATTTCCTTTTGCTTTTCTTGCAGAGATAGAAGTAGGAATGATACTTTAGCAGTTGTTAGAGATAGGAAGGTAAATAACTGAATATTGTTACAACATGTGCATGTATATATCTTTGTGTAGGTTGCTTGTGTGTTTGTAGGTAAGTACACATGTAAATATTAATGTTGTTAGGATACTTAGGCTTTGTTTGTCTACCATTCTACTATATTATTTTTCTATTGTACTCATTTTTAACCATACATTCTCCATTAAAAATAAAGCAAAAACTTTTACTTCTTTTTTAACCACAAATTTCAACCTCAATTATTATTCCATAATACATTATTCACAAATAATGGGGCACAAACACCCCCTTAAGATTTATTCTTTAACAATCTTTTATAAATAAAAGTGACCAGGTGTTTGTGAAATCATAGCCAATAACTTGCATTTAAATTATTCTTAATTCTTGATGAATTTGAAGTTCTCATTTCAGACCAAATATGCGCTATCAAATGATGTTTCAGCTTTATTTTTTACATACTCGTTGATGAAAATAGCCATTTCGTATGTTGCAGGTCAAAGCATCTGATAGTGCTTCCCTTTATACCCTTTGTAGGTCATGGTTGAGGAACGGTATTCCTGAAGAAATTCAGGTTTGCAATTGAAAATGCTTTTCCAACTGCATTGCGTGTATGATGCCTCTTACTGTTTTTCATGTCTTTTTTTCTTTTTTATCACGGCTGTTGCTAATCAGAATAACCCTCCATGTATCAGCCGGCCTCTGTCACACTACCACCCTCCCCATTCCCCAGCTGATCCCCACCCCTACTCTACGCCACCCCACCCCACCCCACCCCGAGTATCCCCTACCTTGTCTCCACCTCTCACCCTGGGGCTCCCACTCCCCAGCACTGCATCCTCTCTCAAAAAATGGAGCACGGTTCTTGCCTCCTCAGCCTCCACACAGTTAATACCTCTCTCCTCCTGGTCTTGGCCCAAACTCTGCCTCTATTACTGGAATTTTTTTGGGGAATTTGGCCATTTGGCGTAGCTAAACAATGTATTTGATGAAATAACTTTGACCAATAATAAAAACAAATAAAAAATGTAAAAATGTTTTAGTTGGCAAAATGACAAAATTCTCCTTTAGTTGTTAATTTAATGCCTTCCAATTTTACCCATTTCATCCCGTCATTTTTCCTTCAAATTCATCTTAAAACCCTATTTTTTCTCTTGAAAATAACATCTTCTTCTGTTCATCGTCTTCAATTTTAAGTTCTCAAAATTGCATTCATATATTTTCTCCTCTAATTACATTTGAACAAGGCTTTGGTTAGCATACATTTATATTGAAAGAAAGAGGAAAGACGCTCTTAAAAATCTCATCTATGTTATATTTTTATTATTAAAAATAGTATTAAATAATATTTAGTTGGTATTGTTTGCGTATTTAGTGTGCTTTTTGTATTATTTGCAATCATTGAATGTAATAACACCCCAATTGCTATTTGAAATATAGAACACCACTCCAGCCGTTATTTGTAAAGTAAAACGACACTACAGTCGTTATCTGTTGTAGTTTAATTTTTTCAACGAAATGACTCTAATAATTGACTCACTAACGTATATAACAAAAAAAAAATTGACTAGTCACAAAGAACAATTGAAATGACATAATTTTTATATTATTGAGATGGTGAAAATACAAGTTACCACATTTATATGTGTCGATTAAGTTAATAAACATATCTATTAACTTTTGTACGTATTATGTACATATTACAGTATAAATAAGTTCCACTTATTATTTTTCAGGGAAAGAATGGACTATAACTACTTATACTCATATTTATACACTTAACAGCACAAGTATCGTTTTCATGTCCAGTAACGACACTTGTGTTGTTCTGAAATTTTCATCGTATGTGTAGTTTAGATACCAATTTTAAGCATACCGTATATGCATATATTGTATATGCCACTTACCATATTTGCAGGTAGCTTACCGTATATGCAGGTTACCGTATTTACACCTTACTGTATATGCTGCCTACCGTATTTGCAGAAAGCTAACCATATTTGCACAAAATTTTCACAAACTGTTTTTATTCCATTTCGTATATAGTGAGTGACTTACACATATTTGCTAGATATCATACACGCAACTAACATACCGGATATGCACTTACATACGCCAAAATGTAGAAATACCGTATTTGCATAAATTATCTAAATAAATACCGGTTGGACAACTACCAAATCGAATGTTATCAAATTAATTAATTTTCTTCAGATTTTTCTTCTCGACATACAAATAATAAACTGTAAAATTAGATGAAGCACATAAAACAAAATAAACTGAAAAATTTACAAAGTATAAGATTAAACTGTAAATATGTAAATCGCTAAATAAATAAATATGTGAATTGCAAAAAATAAATAAATCTTCAGCTCGAGGCCCGTGCGAACACGGTTTCCTTAAAACATATTCGCCCTCTCATTGTAAGTGCTTGAGATTTAATCCAAGCGTCTGTTTCCCAGGATACAATGGTAAAACCTGTAGAATCTGAGTACTGCAGAAACTACTCCAGCAAACTGATTTAGCGTCTGAACAATATTACCACCACGACTTTGGACAGAAACTAAGATTACGTATACAGACAGAAAAATTATGCAGTATGCAGACTATATTTGTGTGTGCAGATACAGTTTTTTTTCCTGTATTTCGAGTATGCTAGAATTGCCCCAAAAAAATATGAGATTTAGTATATAAAATAAATCTGCCATCTGCACGATTATAAGTAGCCATGAGCCTTTCGGGGCTCGATATTCGATAATTTGAACCCATTTAAGTCGCGAGATGGACATGCCGCTCACATAATTTGGGAGATACTCTCATTACTTTTGTTTCCCAACGAATGTGGATGGTGATTTGTGATTTCACCAATGCGACATCTACAATCAATACCAATTTTGTCGTTATTCGCCACGTAATCAATAATTCTAACTTTCTTATGTTAGGAGGTCTGATCCTTCAGGTCGACGCGGTGGAAATGAAGCGAAATATATGAGAAACCAACAGAATGATATAGGTGCTGTTAAGTCAATAATTTGCAACCACGAGCCTTCCGGGCCTTGATATTCGATAATTTGAACACATTTAAGTCGCGAGATGGACATGCCGCTCACATAATTTAGGAGATACTCTCATTACTTTTGTTTTCCAACGAACGTGAATGGTGACTTGTGATTTCACCAACGCGGCATCTACAATCTATGCCAATTCTACTGTTATTCGTCACGTAATTAATAATTCTGATTTTCTTAAGTTAGGAGGTCTGATCCTTCGGGTCGACGCGATGGAAATGAAGCGAAATATAGGAGAAACCAATAGAACAACACAAGTGCACTTAAACGTCACATGTGTCGTTCTGTCGATAAACACCAGTATGAGCAGTCATGAGCCTTCCAGGCCTCGATATTCGATAATTTGAACTCATTTAAGTCGTGAGATGGACATGCCGCTCACATAATTTGGGAGATACTCTCATTACTTTTGTTTTCCAACGAATGTGGATGGCGACTTGTGATTTCACCAACGCTACATCTACAATCTATGCCAATTCTATCGTTATTCGTCACGTAATTAATAATTTTGACTTTCTTAAGTTAGGATGTCCGATCCTTGAGGTCGACTTGATGGAAATGAAGCGAAATATAGGAAAATCCAATAGAATGACACAGGTACCGTTAAATATCACTTGTGACGTTCTATCTATAAACACGATTATATGCAGCCACGAGCCTTCCGGGCCTTGATATTCCATAATTTGAACTCATTTAAGTTGCAATATGGATATGCCGCTCACATAATTCGGGAGATACTCTCATTACTTTTGTTTTTCAACGAATGTAGATGGTGACTTGTGATTTCATCAACGCGACATCTATAATCTATGTCAATTCTGCCATTATTCGCCACGTAATCAATAATTCTGATTTTCTTATATTAGGAGGTCCGATCCTTCAAGTCGATACGGTGGAAATGAAGAGAAATATAGGATAAACCAATAGAACGCGTTCTGTCGATAAACATGAGTATTAGTAGCCACGAGTCTTTCGGGCCTCTATATTCAATAATTTGAACTCATTTAAGTTGCGAGAGGGACATGTCGCTCACATAATTTGGGAGATATTCTCATTACTTTTGTTTTCCAACGAATGTGGATGGTGACTTGTGATTTCACTAACGCGACATCTTCAATCTATGCCAATTCTACCGTTATTTGTCACGTAATTAATAATTCTGACTTTCTTAAATTAGGAGGTCCGATCTTTGAGGTCGATGCAATGGAAATAAAGCGAAATATAGGAAAAATCAAAAGAACGACACAAGTGTTGTTAAACGTCACTAGTGTCCTTCTGTCGATAAACACGAGTATGAGCAGCCACGAGCCTTTCGGGCCTTGATATTCTATAATTTGAACTCATTTAAGTCGCGA